TTGCCTTCCTTCATTCCCCATGAATTATAATCATCTTAGTGAGTGTAAAGTGGTTCCCATTGTGGTTTCGATATGCACTTCCTTAATGACTAATGATATTGAATATTCTTTCATGTGCTTATTGGACTTTTGTAAATCCCCTTTGGAGAAATGTCTATTCAAATCATTAACTCATTTTGTAATTGGGTTATTGTTTCTACATTAGCTTTCAAAATGTCCTTGTCTACTAATTCTATTCCATATGTTATTTCAAGGTCTTTTCCAATTGATTGACTTTTCCCACCTTTATGGATTGTAGTGTGTTGCTTCTTTGAATGTCTAGCAGTTTTAAATTAAATGTCAAACATAGTGAATTTGACCTTGTTGGGTGCTGGGCATTCATTAGTTTAGAGAATAATCTTGCACTTTGTTCTAGATGTAATTATTATTTGGCAACATTTAATCCTTCAAGTCCTGCTTTTAAGTTTCATTAGTTTGGACCAGAATGACCTTTAGTTTAGGGCCAAATTTATCCCACTACTAAGACATACACATCTAAGCATTTCACCCAGTGCTCTGGAAATGCTGAGGTTTTTCTACTTTGGCTGGTAGAAACATGAATTTTTCTAGTCTTATGTGAGGTCTCTTTCTTATGATTCTTCCTTCCACTCTTTTATATCATTCTTCCTCTTATAGTTTCCTTACATATACATTTATATCATTTCTTATTTTTGTAGTTCTCCAGAGTGCTCTGTACATATCTTGCCCACTTGGAGGCTTGTCCTATGAACTCCAGCTACAAAAATCTCTCCAGACTCCCTACCCTGTTTTGTCTTCTAGAAACAAGCTCCTCTACAGATCATCCTCCTGCACAGCAGCCTGGAAATTCTCCCCGGATCGCATGCTTAGCAATAGTAGAGCTCCATGGCTTGTTTTGTTGGGGACCATGATAGCTTTCCGGCATTGCTTGATGTCTATTGTCTGAGAACTTTTATTCCATATGTTTTGTCCCCTGCTTTTTTTCACTTCTTCAAATGGGAAGGAAAATTCTATCTCATTACTTGATTTTTCCCAGGAGCACAAGTCTGTATTGATCTTTTAGAAACATGTCTTTTTGACTTACCTTACTGGTTGCTTTCGATATTACAACATAGATCTCCAAGTTACCACAGTTAACCTTCAAGTAAAATTATACTTTTATACGGATGTTTAAGAAACTTAAAACTATGTATTTCTCTATTCACTCTTCTGTGTTTTATCCTCTTATTGTCTTATGTATTTTCTCTGCATGTGCTGTGCACCAGTTATACTGTTATTATATATACTTTAAACCGTTAATAGCCATTAAAAGGTTTCAAGAAGCTAACAAAAAAAGGCTTTTATATTTGCTTAGATATTTACCCTTTTTTGGTTCATTATTCCTTCCTATAGTTCTGGAACTTCATCTGGTTTAACTTTCCATCAGGTGTAGGAAACTTTCTGTGTTTATTTTTAAAATTGAGATTAGTTTTTCAAGACTGTGTGTGAATAAAAAAACCTATTTTGTCTTAATTTTTGAAGGATATTTTCATTGTATATGGAATTATGTATTGACTGCCTTCTTTCCTTTTCAACACTTCTATTGAGTTTGGTCACTACTGTTTCTGATGAGAAGATGACTGTTATTCTTATTGTTGTTCTTTTTGTTGCTTTGGCTCCATTTAGGATCTTCTCTTTGTCTTTGACTTCACATGTCTTCACACCTGTGTTAGGTACAGTTTTCTTTGTATTTGTCCTTCTTGGGGTTGAGTTTTGAATCTGTGGGTCAACATCCTTCATCAGTTTTGAAAAGCTCACAGCTACTTTGTTTTTAAATATTTCTTCTGCACTATTCTCTTTCTTCTGCTCCTAGGACTCTCATTATTACGTGTGTTTTGGAACTTTTCATATTGTCTCACAGCTTTTCATCTTGTGCCACAGATGCTCGCCTTTTTATTTTTAACAATTCTTGTCTTTAAGTTTCATTTTTGTTAATTTATATTGATATGTCTTTGAGTTCATTGGTCCTTTCCTCTGCTGTATGCATTTTGCACTTAAGGTCTTCTCTTGGATTCTTTATTTTGATATAGTATTTCTAATTTCTGGTGTTTTCATTTGGTTGAAGAAATAATGTATTTTTTTTTTTTTTTTGCTATAATCACTTAGCTCCTAAAGCAGCAGTCCCCAACCTTTTTTGGCATCAGGGAATGGTTTTGTGGAAGACAATTTTTCCATGGATAGGGGTGGGAGGGCTATTTCAGGATAAAACTGTTTTGCTTCAGATCAGCAGGCATAAATTCATTCTCATAGGGAGCACATAACCTAGATCCCTCACATGCACAGTTTATAATAGGGTTCTTGCTTCTATAAAAATCTAATGCTGCTGCTGATCTGACAGGAGGTAGAGTTTAGGCAGTAATGCTCACTTGCCTACCACTCACCTTCTATTGTGTGGCCTGGTTGCTAACAGGTTGCTATACATTTTTCACAGGCTCCTGTAGCATTTTTATCCTAAATATCTTCAACAGCCAGTCTGATATTTCATCACCTGTGCTATCTCTGGTTCTGCTTTTATTAACTATTTCATCTCTTGTCTGTGTGAGTCAAATTTTCTTGCTTCTATGTGTATCTTGTAAGTTTTGGTCATAGCATAGATATTTTGTATAAAAGAATAGTAAAGACTGAGGCAAACAATAATTACTCCTAGAAAAACACACTGTCTTCTATCAGTTTTTTAGAATGAAGGCCAACATTAATCTGATTAGTTATTGAACTGGGTCTGGGCTTTGTTGCAGCTTCAGTTTGTTTCACTCACTGCAGGCTTTAGTTATTTTGAGGGTTGTTTGGGATTCTCCCTTTTGCAGGATTTATGCTTTGGAACTGCCAATATTGTGGAGGTCCTTTTATGAATTTCAATAGAGTTGACAGCTTTCCAAATTGTGTGAAAACTCTGCTTTATAGCCTGCCTGCCAGATTTATAAGTTGCTAGAGGGTTTTCTTTGCTCTCCAGTATAGCTCCTGAATTTTCATGGCTTAGGAGTTGTTTTGTTTTTGTTTTTTCCCTACTGACCTGCCCAACCTTCTGAGGACAGCTTTATTCTTTAAAGCCTTGAAATGACTTGTGTTTTAAGATGTATACAAGACATCCGGCATTTCTTCTGACCTTTGATGCCTGAGAACCTGTAGTGCCTCTGATGAATATCTTTTAGCTCTCTCGTCATGCTTCTTACCTTTGGAGGTGGGTTGCTTTGTAACTAGAGGAGGTACCATATACCGCATGGGTGATATTTTCTGACCTGTCCCAAGCTGTTGGCACACTATCACTGAACACTCAGTGAAGACCATTGGAAGGATTTGGCAGGTAGATTCAATCTCACTCTGTACCTGGCATTCTTCAGAATATTAATCTGCATGCCAATCCATATACATCCTTACTTTTTTGTTTTGTTTTGTTTTTAATTTCAGCTGTGTTCTTCCTATCCCAAACTATGGTATGTTTTTCTTTATTTATTTTTCTTGTTTTTGTTTTTAAATCTTCTCAGAAGTCTTCTAGGGATGTGAACAGCTAAGATCTCTTCTCTCTTATAAAGCACTTGTCCTTTTCTGGAATTTAGTTAATTTAGGTTTCTTTGTGTCTTGAACTGGTATATTTGAAAAAATAAAAGTGATGTAGCTTACCTGGTTTGTTTTGTTTGTTAGACTGAGAGAAAAACTTGTGACTTTCTACATCATAAACAGAGGCAGTAGAGTTGTATGATTTTAAAAAAATCCCTATTTACCATCCCTGACAATTTCAGCAGTTACCATACCATAGAGAAATTCTAAGGGTGATATTCGCTATGATAACTTCCATGTGATTGAACAGAACAGTTTTTCATTTCCATAAGACCATTCCACAATTTCATATTGGATTTCCTCTGGCTCCTAACCTTAACCAGCTCTTGGGACAGATAGAGTCATATAGTACTGATTCCTCTTAATTATACAACTCACATTTATGTGGTGCTTCTATAGGGATTCAGGCATTTTTCCTGCTATATCACCCAATCCTGGAGCAGTATGTGCCAGGGAACAAGCATTCAATAAACATTTGTTGAATGACTATTTGATCCTTAAATTTTCCCTGAAGATAGACAGAAAAGGGGAATAACTCCCATTTAGTAAATGTTGATTTTCTGTTAGGAATTGTTCCACATATTTTATACACATTTAATCCTTAAAATACCTGTCATACATTATTATCAATGTTTTGAAGAATACGAAACTAAGCTTTCAAGCCTGTCAATGGTAGGTCAGCTTTACTAGAACCCAAGTCAACTTTTGGTTCTTGACCTTTTCCATGCTACCACTGTTTTTCATAAAATAGCTCTTCCTATAAGAGGAAAGGAAAGAACCCAGGGTCTCTAGAAATCTTTCCCCTTACATAATTGAGACATCTCTCAACTCTAACAAAAGTTCAATGTGTGTATCAAAGAAGAAATGTGATGAGAATCAAATGAGATAATGTAGGGTGAGTGCTTCACAGTCTATAAAATGCCACTCACATGGAATTACCCAGTGCACCTAGCAGGGAGATCTTCAGCCCTGTGGTTGTGCTGTTTCTGCCTTGCCGGCTGCAATTTCAGCCAGGCCCCAGGGCTGGGTATCAGGGTTATAGCACTTAGAAGGTGGCCTTGGTAGAAAGAAGTTAGTCCCCATTTTCACACAGCGATGGGTCTCCAGATGCTGTTTTTTTCTCTTCCTGTCTTCTTTTCTTAGAATTTTATTTTTAAAATTTTATATAGAAAGAAAAATATTCACCCAGCTAATTTTCACATTTTGATGGAGATGGGGTGTTGCTTTCTTGCCCAGGCTGATCTTGAACTCTTGGCTTCAAGCAATCCTCCTATCTTGGTGGGTCCCAAAGTGTGGGGATGGCCTGCATGAACCAATATTCCTGGCCTGAAACCAACCTTTATGGATATCAATGCTCTCATCACTTAGTTAACTGGCTCAGGTAAGATAATATCCCTTTATATAAGTATCAAAACTCATACTGACAATGAGTTCTGGGTTGCAAAAGAGGATTTATTTTTTGCACCTGTCTCTAAGATTTCATCCACAAGTTAAGCAAAAACATGCACAAGTGCAATCTTGCATCTTCTTAAGAGGGGAGCCAGCCTTCTTACCCCTGCCATCTTGTTCTACTCCCAAGGGGAATTCTTGTTCCGCCAAAGATTCAGGCACCAGAATCCCTTCTTGAACTCCCTGTGCTCAGATAATTCTCCTTGTAGAGTTAACGAATTGCTGGTCTTCCATCTTTGTTTCTGAAGTCCCACCTATCAAACCTCACAAGGCTACCCTTGTGGAGGTGGAGGATGAGGGATCTTTGGTGAACAAAACAACCTAAAATAAAAGAAATCTGAATTAGTCTATTTTTAAAAGAAATTTATTTTCATTTCTTTCAAATATGCAAACTACCTAGAACAAGATGAATAGCATTGTTCTTAAAGATCTTGCTTTGGTGAATAGCCCAATTAGATCTATAATTAGCACACCAATTGTGGTTAAAAACAATTAAGTGGCTTAAATGCCTGCTTCCCCTCCCTCATCTTGTTTACATTATTAATTTAATCAACTGACACTTTAAAGAATAGAAGGTGAACTTCAGACTTCTAACTTAAATTACATTTAGTGGTTACAAATTAAACTTTGAGATGTATCATATCCTGTGTTTTAGTGATTACAAAGTATTTTCTTACATATGGACTCCTTTTGTCTTCCCAATAACCTTATGAGGTGAGCAGGAAAGTTTCCTTATGTCTGGTTTACAGATGAGGAAATGAAGAGTCTAAGGCACTGGGTTGCTTATATAAGGCCATACAGTCAAAGATCAGTGAGTTCATTCTTTTTGATTCTTCAGAGATTTCCTCTTTTCTAATGATAGGGAACTAAAGCACAACAATTGCTAGGCATGCAAAGTGGATAATTATATCCATTCTTTTGCTCCTTCATTTATTCTTTCATTTCTTTATTCATTCATTTTTATTCTTAGAGATTGCTACTATCTCTGGAATATAACAAATATCTCCATAGGGTGCTTGGAATGAATGGAAAGGGGGGAAATGGAATAATTTACTCTATGTAGTGGAGTAAAGGTATGTTATTTGCTCATATTGCCACTGACCCGACACTGTACCATACATAATATCCTCTGAAGTAGGGCAAGTAATAGGAGAAACAATCTCACTTTATCAGCTTTTTCTTCTTCCGGCAAGTCTGTAGCAGGTGCTGGAGCAACTGGCAACTTCTACGTGTTCAGATGGCCATTACTGTCCACCCCGTAAGCCCTCACCTTCTGCCTTGCTTTTCTAAGGCTTCTGTTCCCATAGTAGCACCCTGGTCCATTGGTCCATTCTCTGTAGTCTTCCTCACCCCTTCTTTCTCTGTCTCTATCTCTTAGTTTCTTTCTTTCCTCCTCTTTTTTCCTCTTTCTCTTCCTTTTTCTTCTTTTCCTCCTTTCCTATTCCCCCACCCTCTCCCTCTCTCTTTCATGTTGTGTACAGTGGAAAATTAAAGACAGAGTAGCATGACCGAAGTTAGACATTTCCACAAAATAATGACCCAGGATTGGCTCCATTGAGTTTTAAGACATGCCATGTGTACTTCGGGCCAAAGTCCATTTTCCACATGGAATAGGAATATTGCTAAAATCATTTGGAGGGCTGAACTTTCCAGATGATTGACATAAGTATCTACTTTATGGTTTGCATTTTTCTTCTATATTAAGGACCTCTAAGGAGTATCTAGTATAACTCAAGAAAACACTCGTTTCTCTTTTGGTGAATAAAATCTCAGAAAAATACCTTCATTAAAGTTACTGGGAGGGAATTTTGGACTCAATATAATAACTCTAGGACAGTCTTCCTACTGCTGCTGAATGTCAGGTGCTTAGCAAGTCCATTCATGACTGGCTTCATTCCTAAGTCGCCTCCATGCTTCTCTAAGTCCTCAGCTCCATCGTTCTTTCCAAATACGGGTCCCCCAGAGTGATTTTTCTAAATAAATCAGATTTTGTGAATCTTCTGTTTAAAATGTCAGTCTTCTATTTGAAATGTCACTTGGTTCCTTGTCAGCAATGTGGTATGGTATGAACTCCTCTTGATGTATCTGGTCCTTTGTGACAGCCCATTCATCTTTTTAGGCCTGGCTGCAACTCCCTCCCTGACTTTATACCTCCCCTCTTCCCTGGGACATCTCTGCACTTTTGCAATGTATCCTTTACCCTCTTCTTACACCTCATTTGGTGGTGGAAATGGAGGGAAGAGGATATATTTGAAGGGTATTTCCCAGGTCTCCAATCCATGAATCCTTCATCTTTTTTAGGAGTCAAAAGCTCTGTTTCCTTTGTGTGTTCCTGCATTAGCCTTGGCACATCCTATCTTGCATTGCAATGATTTTTTAAATATGTTTCTTTCTTTCCTGGCCTATGAGTTTATATCTTTTTTTTTATTGCATTTTAGGTTTTGGGGTACATGTGCAGAGCATGCAATACAGTTGCATAGGTACACATAGGGCAGTGTGTTCTGTTTGCTTTCTCCCCTTCACCCACATTTGGTATTTCTCCCCTGGCAATCCCTCCCCACCTCCCCCTCCCACTGGCCCTCCCCTTTTCCCCCTATAGACCCCAGTGTTTAGAACTCCCCTCTCTGTGTCCATGTGTTCTCATTTTTCATCACCCGCCTATGATTGAGAATATGTGGTGTTTCATTTTCTGTTCTTGTGTCAGTTTGCTGAAGATGATGTTCTCCAGATTCATCCATGTCCCTACAAACGACACGAACTCATCATTTCTGATTGCTGCATAATATTCCATGGTGTATATGTGCCACATTTTCCCAATCCAGTCTATCATCGATGGGCATTTGGGTTGATTCCAGGTCTTTGCTATTGTAAACAGTGCTGCAATGAACATTCGTGTGCATGTGTCCTTGTAGTAGAACAATTTATAGTCCTTTGGATATATACCCAGTAATGGGATTGCTGGGTCAAATGGGATTTCTATTTCTAAGGCCTTGAGGAATCGCCACACCGTCTTCCACAATGGTTGGACTAATTTACACTCCCACCAACAGTGTAAAAGTGTTCCTTTTTCTCCACATCCTCTCCAGCATCTGTTGTCTCCAGATTTTTTAATGATCGCCATTCTAACTGGCGTGAGATGGTATCTCAATGTGGTTTTGATTTGCATCTCTCTGATGACCAGTGACAATGAGCATTTTTTCATATGAGTTTATATCTTATTCACTATCCTTTCAGGGTGTGGAGCTCAGTGTTTGGCACATTTTTGGTGTTCAGTAATAGGCAGCCACTAAGTTGTTGAATTGCCTTCTGTGTGCCTTGAGTTGGAATGTTCTAAGGCTAATAAGATCCCCTCAGTCCTCATGAGTCAGCCCTTTGTATCACAGGCTGAGTTCAGCAAGAAACAAAAGTTTAATATTCATTTTCTCATAAGTTAGAACTTCTGACCAAGACTTCATTTCAGAAATATAGCACAGAAATGCTGAGAATTAGAGCATTTCTTTGCATCTATAGAAAATGTGTGACTCAGTTTTTTAATATTTATTTATTTAACTTTAGATGCATATTATATCTGTCATTTCTCCCCGTCTTATCCCTCCCCACCCTCCCCTCCCTCCCCACCCCCTGCTGTCTTTCCCCTACCCCCCAAATGCCCCCCGGTGTGAGTCCACATGTTCTCATTGTTCAACACCCACCTATGAGTGAGTACCTGTGGTGTTTGGCTTTCTGTTCTTATATCAAGTTTGCTGAGAATGATAGTTTCCAGATTCATCCAAGTCCCCACAAAGGACACGAACTCATTGTTTTTTTATGGGTGCATAGTATTCCGTGGTGTATATGTACCACATTTTCTTTGTCCAGTCTATCATTGATGGGATTTGGGTTGGTTCCAGGTCTTTGCTATTGTACACAGGGCTGCAATGAACATATATGTGCATGTGTCTTTATAGTAGAACAATTTATAGTTCTTTGGGTATATGCCTAGTAATGGGATTGCTGGGTCAAATAGAATTTCTATTCCTAGATCCTTGAGAAATCACCACACTGTCTTCCACAGTGGTTGAACTAATTTACACTTCCATCAACTGTGTAAGAGTGTTCCTATTTCTCCACGTCCTCTCCAGCATCTGTTGTCTCCAGATTTTTTAATGATCGCCATTATAACTGGCGTGAGATGATATCTCAATGTGGTTTTGATTTGCATTTCTCTAATGACCAGTGATGATGAGCATTTTTTCGTATGTTGTTGGCCTCATATATAATTCTTTTGTAACATGTCTGTTCATATCCTTCACTCACTTTTGAATGGGGTTGTTTGTTTTTTCTTGTATATCTGTGTTAGTTCTTTGCTGATTCTGGTTATTATCCCTTTGTCAGATGGGAAGATTGCAAATTTTTTTTCCCATTCTGTTGGTTGCCAATTTGCTCTAATGATGGTTTATTTTGCTGTACAGAAGCTCTGAATTTTAATTAGATCCCATTTGTCTATATTGGCTTTTATTGCCATCGCTCTTGGTGTTTTAGTCATGAAGTCCTTGCTTATGCCTATGTCCTGGATGGTTTTGCCTATGTTTTCTTCTAGTGTTTTTATGGTGTTAGGTTTTATGTTTAAATCTTTAATATATCTGGAGTAAATTTTCATGTAAATTGACAGGTAGGGGTCCAGTTTCTGCTTTCTGCACATTGCTAGCCAGTTTTCCCAACACCATTTATTAAACATGGAGTACTTTCCCAATTGCTTGTTGTTGCTGGGTTTGTCAAAGATCAGATGGTTGTAGATGTGTGGTGTTTCTTCTGGGGCCTCTGTTCTGTTCCATTGTTCTATGTCTTTGTTTGGTACCAGTACCATGCTGTTTTGATTACTGTAGCTTTGTAGTATAGTTTGAAGTCTGGCAGTGTGATGCCTCTGGCTTTGTTCTTTTTGCTTAGGATTTCTTGGGTGTGCAGGCTCTCTTGTGATTCCATATGAAGCTTAAAGTGGTTTTTTCCAGTTCTGTGAAGAAGGTCATTGGTAGCTTAATGGGGATAGTGTTGAATCTATAGATTACTATGGGCAGTATGGTCATTTT